CCAGACGCAGCTCCCGCCTACACGCCCGACGGCCGCAGCTCCTGCCCACACGCACGATGGAAGCGGAATATCATCCGCCGGGACCGGCAACAGCACGCCGCCTTCCGGGACCTCGTCCGGTCCTCCCCCAGCCAGGTAAGACATCCCCCGAAAATAAGACCTAGTGTCTTATTTCGTGCAAAAAAATAAATAAGACACTGTCTTATTTTCGGGGGAAACACGGTACCCCACTAAAAAGTGAGCCGGCCGCAATGCCTTTAAAAGCTTCAAAAAACGATCTCTATCCACGTGATAACTCCCTGCCAGAAGGTGGCTACTTTCTTCTCCATGGTCCCCACGGGTGCGGAAAAGCAGCCACCCCCTGTGCTTAGCCCAATGATACTATGACAGCATGAAGCACCCTCACGTCTCCTCTGAAGATCCCTCCCATCTAGACTCTGCCTACTGTGGACGGCATGCGAGATCCTTATCTTTCACCCAAATAGATATATATAACTTCTCCTGGCTTAGAGCCCACTCCCACCAGGGTGGTTGCGGATCAGCGCAGTTACCACGCTGATCTCACAAGGGAGGTTTGGGGAGTTTTTAATTGGGCTTCAGCCCTGAAAAACAATTAGAAACGCCCCAAAACTGCACTGATCAGCACGCCTCCTTTGAAAGCTGTATGGAAACCGCACTGATCAGCACGGCAAAAATAGTGCAGGGAGTCATTCGGATCGTGCGAACCCGAGCGGTCACATGAACGGTCTTCATAACAATGTATGGGATCGTTCATGTCGGCGGATCCGTGCGCAGAACCACCCCAGTGTGAACGCGGTCTTACTGAGTATGGGGGACAGGAGGGGGGGAGTGTGAGTTGAGCTGTTTTTCATTTTCTGCTTATCCTCTTTCTTTGCACTGCACCCTCTATATTATGGGACTAAGGCCCCGTTCACAACAGGGCGGAAGCGCAATTTTTGAAATGGCGTTTATGATCGTGTTTCAGCGCTGAAACGCAATTAAAAACTCCCAAAAAAGGCGCTAATCAGTGCATTTCCATTTAAATCTATATTTTGGGTGGCAGGCGGTACGGATTGCGCATTGCATAGGAATGTATGGGATGGTTCATGTCAACGGTTCAGCGCAGACAAATAAGCGCAACCGAACTGCCCTGGTGTGAACTGGGCCTTAGAGCCAGGCACGAACTTGGTTTGCACTTCTCAGAGACAGGCACGGAAAGTATAAGGTGAGAGGCACAGGAATGCACAGAAAATTTTTTAGACTGGAAAAACTAAGATTGTTGTTTTTAGTGAAAGCACAATCAGGGGATTAATGGAAGCTGAAAAAAAGTTGTGTCACTTCAAAGCACATGTTCAGGTTTTCCTTAAAAATTAGACTGAACATGACTTAGTGGTTCCTGAATTTAAAATCTGTCCCTCTTTGAACAATGCCAGTACAGAAACGACATCAATTCACAAACCCTAAACAGCTTCTGAGAGCATCAAAGCAAAATAGTTGGCTAGATTTTCACCCAGTGCTTACATGCAAACAAATTCAATGAAGATATCTGGGCAAACTTACATCTAAAATCTTCTGAACATCGATGTCATCATAAAAGGAGACAAAACCGTAGCTAAAATAAAAACAGAAATCTGTTTTAGACACTTCATGACAAGACATTGTTAAATTGTTTGATTCTTCATATTTTTATAACCAGCTTCCGTACGTGCTCCGTATCTCAAGAGCATGTACTGCGGCAGGGCTGCATGGAATGATTATTTTAATAATTGATTGATTAGTTGGCAGATAATTTTTTCGATCAGATAAAAAAAACATATATATATATACATATACACAGGGCTTGAAAAATCCACTCGTCTGTGACGAGAGGACGGTGGAGCCCGACGAGCAGCTTCCACACAGTCAAGCGATCGAGCGTCTCTATAGACGCTCGATCGCTTGTATTAGCAGCTG